AGCGGGCGCAGGCGGGGGCGGCGGGGACAGAGGGGCGGCCCCGGGCTACGGAAGCCGCCCGGCCCTCACCACAGAACCACCCCATCTGGTGACCCTACCGCCTCAACATCTCCAAACGCTCCACTGGGGCCGCGGGGGTCCCCTTTGCCCTGCATTTTTGGTCCCTCCAGCGGCCACTTGAGCTGCGGGATGTTCTGAGGCTGGGGGTGGCCTGGGGAGCTGGGAGCAGAAGAACTGACTGCACACCTTCAGCTGCCGAAGAAAGGGGTCTGCAGAGGACAAGGTAGTTGTCCTCTTGGAAGAAATTGGTCGGATTTTTTTTGCTCGTTGAGTTTTGGAGCAATATCCGAGGCAAACTGTGTACGCTGTTATTAGATCTGTGTCATGTTCATAAGCTTAGCCAGTCTTATTTTAATGTTTTTGTTTCCACTGGATTTTTTTTTTAGGGTGCCTAAATATTTCTCCCTGTTCTCTTACCCTACATTCATCCTGGCTTCAATCTTACTAAAATTAATTTACTTGTGCAATTTCTATAGACCTTGAAAGACACGCTTTAAAATTTTCCACAACTTTCCTAGTCCAGTGAGGGGGTCAGAATTTTTATTCATAAATCCGTAGAAAGAAACGGGGGGAAAAAAAATAAGTACTTAGGTTCTCCAGATTACAGGTGGAACACACAGCCAGCTGCCTCTACGATGGAGCTAGGCGTTATTTTAACCTATAGTCTTGATTATCTTCCCTTTTAAACGAGTATTTTAATCGTTAAATGTACTAACGTTTTCCTGTAAGCTAAAAGAGGCCATTTCAGTCATTAATTTGAAGCCCAACATTTAGAAAAATCCAGGCAAAATGCTGCAGTTTCTTTTCTTGCCAAGGCAGAACACAGAATTTGATCTTTTGTTTACAGGGCTGGGGCAACAGTTGCAGGTTATCCTTTGCTTACTCTTTCAGAGACTATGGCAAAGTGGGTGACTACCATGCCCTGCTGGGAAGGGCTTTCTTAGTTGTGTTTGCTTCTGGCCTTGACAGTATGCAGAAAGATATTTTTTAAAAAAGAATGGAAAATGTTCAGGCACCTTGCAAATGCCACAGGACTTCTGGGGAAACCTCAGTGTCTGTGGAGCTGTTCTTACTGGTAGTCCTTCTGGAATGCTGCAGAAAGGGTGAACCTGCTGTTTAATTTCAAAAGAGGCTGCAGCAGCAAGCCAGAGAATGATGCCGCCTTCTCTCTGCAGATTAAAAACACATTATTCATTTCACTAATCTTCGACTCCTCAAAAAAACACTCCAGTGTTCATAGGGGAAAACTCAAACAGGAATAAAGTATATGTATTAATTGGGAGAGTTGGAATTAAGAAAATAGAAGAAAAGGGACTGGTATAAAATCAATTGAAAGAATATTTAATTATCCAGTGAGTTATAAGTCTAAATGGCCAAACTCTTTATTAAAATGACTTTATTCCTAAGGGAATTTGTATTCTCGCCATTAGTCTTTCCATATGGTAGTTAAATACATTTTAAAACATGGAGGGCATTTTATTAGTATGGGGAAATAAATTATTAAGGATCCATTAGTTTCTAATAGTCTTCTATTCCTTAAATTAATTTGGTTAAGTTACTACAATCTTAAGGTTTTAAAGACTGGATATTCTCTAAAATAAGTTTTCCTCTGTCACCTAACCTTATTTCACGCAAATTGGATACTTTGAAACTTTCTCATGACTTTACTTGCTGAAAAGTATATATTTCAGAATCATTTCACTTATTATGGTAAAATTTATGTTTCTTATTCTTCATGTTTGACCAACTAGAGTTCTCTTTTGGTATTTCCTTAATGTACCAAAGCACCTCTTAGCTTTTCAAGTCTATTGGTTTATAATGAGGTCATGCTTTACACAGTTTTATGGGTAGTTTTACACTGAAATATAAGAAGGTCAAGTGACTTGTCCAAGATCTTACTGTGAGTCAGTAAAGGGGCATAAAATAGAGCTTGAGCCCTTGCTTTGGGACTCTAATATTAGATTATATATTAGTGAAATCAAATCTGCAATTTTTAAATTTAATTTTAAAATTCTTTCATTATTATTTCCTCCTGATTCAGCCTCCCTAGCAGCTGGGATTACAGGTGTGCACAGCACACCCAGCTCTTTCAGATGGGGCCTCGAGTTATGTTGACAGGTCAGCCTTCCTTCAGCTCCTGGTTCTCCTACCTCTGCCTCCGGAGTCACTGGGACTACAGGACCACACCTGGCTTGCAGGGTGGACCAGTCATCAAACCCAGACCTTCCATGTGGCTTCAACCTCCTGAGTAGCAGCATCAGCCAACATGTGCTGTGTCAACTGGGCCATTTAATGTTTTGGTTAACACATACTAATGGCATAGATTTGTGGGGTACAGTATGATTTTCCTGTTCACGAATACAATGTGTAGTGATAAGAGCAGGGTAATAGCACATCCATCATCTCAAACATTTGTCTTTACTCTGTATTAGGATGAAAGTTTTTTAAGGTTATTCCTTTCATTCTTCTGTAAATGAAGGAGTCAGGCACAGACATTCACCCTGCCCCCCCCTGCCCCCGGGTCTCATGCTGCAATCCACTGCCACCTCCCCTTTAGCCAGCCTTGGACCATGGCCACATCCCCATCCCCAGTGTGTTCAGGGAAGTCTCCAGACACGGACCCAAAACCATGTGGATGCGGCTGGCCAAGTGTTGAGTTACTGCCTCACTGATACTTGGTCCCAGGGATGAAATTCTTAAAGGGACAGTGTTAAAGATTTGTATTTTTCATAAAGCAGAGTCTTTTGCCTGACTGTGTAGATGGTCACTTGATAAATAAATAAACTTCCTAGCTTATGAAGAGATCAGCAATCAGGAAACGTAAACCACGGTATGCAATAGCATCACTTACTGAGAACCAGAAAGCCCATAGAGTGAGCATTTCATGATATTTAGAGGAAATAGTCATATATGCAATTAGTTAAATAAAATAATGTCACATAGAAGAAACATAGAAAGAATGCAGCTCCAAGCCAGGAATCTCAGGCTATAATATCATTTTGGTCACTAACCAGATTGATTACCCCACCCCTCTGAGCCTGAAAGAAAGAATACAGATGTAATAATTGTATACGTTCATAGGTGAAATGAGGTTTAAGCTTGAGCTATGAATTTTTCTAGCTGCAAAACCCCGTGTCTGAGATTACTACATGTATTATAAAATAGACAGAAGCCCCACCTTAGTGGCACAGTCGGGAGCATACTGACCTACTGTGCTGGCATCCACACGGCTAACTATAGGATTAAATCCTGTGTAGACCTGAAAATATGCTAGGTGTGTGTGCAGGGACCCAGGATCCTGACAAGCTGGATGGCTGGGGGACAGGGACTGAGGCACAAGGAGACCCTGCCAAGGTTGTCTACTTTTCACTCTGTCGCTCTCCTGTGTGCATCATCTCTGCCATGAAAAAAATAAAACTCAAGGGCTGGCAGGGGCATGGTGGTTAAGGCCCTGGACACTCATAAGGTAACCATGGTTCGAGTCCAGGACCTGGTGGCTTGCTTTCTCACTTTATCTCTCTCTCTCCCTGTCTTTCTCTGGTCAAATTAAAAAATAATGATAATAAATAAAATAATTCTTTAAAATAATAAAACTTAAAAAATAACATATAACATATTATACATATGTGTCAAATATGTGCATCTATACACACACACACATAAATGATGAAGAGGGCAAATGGAAAATAGTTTAAAAGTAATATTTACTGAGCACCGACTATGGCCTGTCTGTGTACTAAATGTGGTCTTTTGTCCTCCAACCAATCCTTTGAGGCAGGCATTATTATAATCCTTATAAGGAAACTGAGCCACTGAAAAAAACAGTGAGTTGCCTAAATTAAGTGGTAGAACCCAAAAATCTAGTTCAGAACTCCCCAACTATTTTCTGTAATTTAATAGAATTCATTTAAAATGTAACCTGGGGGAGATCATGGAAGCTTAAGATAAAAATTTTGTTTTTTAAAGAGATACTTTGGGGTCAGCAGGTTGCGTGGTGGTTAGGGTACTGGACTCCCACGTGACTAATTGCAGTTCTACTCCTAGACCTGGCTACTTCCTTTTTCAGTTTCTCTCTCTCTTTTTCTGTCTCTCTCTTGGGCACGTGCCCTATAGCAAATTTAAAAGAATAAAAATAATAATAATTCTAAATAAAAAAAATGATACTTCTTACCCAAGGATTTAAAATGGAAATAAGACCATGTGAATATAGCGCTAACTCTGTCTCCTGCAAGAGCAGAGTGACGGAAAACGCAGAGCAAAGCGTGTTCTCTGGGATGATTGTCACTGGAGGACAGTGCTTATTTTGCCTGTGAGGCCTAGAGTGGTCAGAAGACTTGCTCATTGTCGAATAGCTGGTTGCTGACACTAAGCTGCCATGGAAGGAGATGCCCTGAGTCCCAGTCCTAGTCCTTAAATCATGCTGTTTCTTTCAGGGATTGGTATTTTCTATCTTTTTACATAATCGTCCCTGAAGCAAAACTTGATTTTAAGACTTCAATTCATACAAAACAGAAGTACCACCCTGATTTTTACTGGTATGTATTCAGACTGTATCTCTGCCTCAGAACCAGTTTTCATTGACATATTATGTCCTGAACCCTCCACTCTTCTAGGCACCATAAATACAGCAAAAGTGTGTGTGTGATATCCCTTCATGGAGCTGACATTCTTTTAAGAAAATT